TCCTAGCTGTTCTTCTAACCGTCAGGATGCAGTGGGGGAACAGAATATATGCTGCTCTTGCTCCCCACAGTATTGGATCAGCAGGGGGGACACACACGACACTGTCTTGACAGGAACTGCCCATGTGACCGTGGGTCGGTCCCTTTTCCTTTCTGGGCCCTTGGGTTTTAGCTTCCTCTCCACCCAAGTCCCCCTGATGAAAAGCCCTGGGTGACCTCTTGTTGCCTATGGAGCAAGATGGGCATCTTTGGCCTGGTTTGCAAGGCCCCTCGAATCCACCTCGAGTCGACCTTTTACAACACATGCTCCCTGCCCCCTGACCCCCATTTTGCTCCATTTTTGTTTAACTATTATGTCATTTTCTAAATACTAGGCACTAGGTGCTTCCCAAATTTTACTCTGTGGGTTTTTTACATGCAACATTATTTTGCATTAGTATCAGGTGTACAGCATAGTGGTTAGACAATCATCTACTTTACAAAGCGCCCCCCCCCCCAATGTCAAGTACCCACCTGGCACCATACATAGAACTTTAACTTGTTCCATCATCACAGGAACCCCTTGAAATAAGTGTTGTGACCCTCATAGGCTCCATTTTAAGGATAAGGTCATCGAGACACAGAGAGGTACAGAGCTCGCCCACGTGCCCACGCTGCTACGTGGGGCGGTGGGGGTCTGAATGCAGGCGGCCTGGCTCCCGGTCCGTGCGCTCACTGCTGCTGTGTTGCCTCTGTCTGCTCTGGGCACGGGCCTACCCTCCCTTTCGTAGGTACAATGCAACAGCCATGCCTGCTTCCATGAGGGCTTCCGTGATGCCTCCCAGGTTGAATGAATCCCCCCGTCTGTGTTCCCACAATGCTGTGCACACTCCTCCCCCTGGGAGGATGCTGCCCTGTTGGATTCCTCGACTGGGTGCTGAGTGCCCGAGCGCGAGGGGCGGGTTGCATCTCCTGCTCTGTGCCACTCTGTGCCCACCCAGCATCCCGTGTCATCCATTCTCCGTGGAGCCACCGAAGGCATCTTTTAAAAACGAATCCAGTTTTTGTCACTTCCTGTCTTAAAACCATCCAGAGGCAATCCACTGAATTCGGAATAAAATCCTGGCCAGGGACTAGGATTTTACGGCACCACACGGTCTGGTTCCTGCCACCTCCTCCCTGCCCTCATCTGTTGCCGCTCTCCCCCTTGTTCACTCTGCTCCAGCCACACTGGCCTCGTGCCTGTCCCCAAACAGCCCAGGGGCCTCTGCCAGCGCTATCTCCTGCGCCCGGAATGTCCTGCCCCACCTCCTCACGTGACCGACTTTTTGTCATTCAAGCCTCCGTTTCAGACAGACCTTCTTTATCTGCCTAGACGCCTAAATGTTTTCATATTTACTTCTTAAATGGTTATTAATGACTTGTGTCCACTGCCAGTTGGTCAGCCCCACAGGAGCAGGGATGTGGGGGGTCTTGCTCAGCACCTGGAACAGGGCCTGACACCCAGTAGCCGCTCAGTAAGTTAGAGGTGGGGGAAGGCAGGGTCCCTTTGGGAGCGGACCTATTACTGTGCCGCCTCGCCATAACATAATAAATATAATATAACAGAACATAAATACAGATATAAATTGGTCTCATCTCTGGCTAAAAGCTGGGATAATTTCACAAGCTAAAATCCACTGTCTTTACTGCCTTATTTCTTGCCTACAGTCATATTTCCAGAAGTAAGGCGATTTTATTGACCATTCTCTGCTCACTTCCCTTCACCAGAGATGCTTAGAACTCTTCACATGTGTTTGACTTTGTCTACCTCAAGGAAACTCATGAGTTCCCGCCTTCCCATTTTATAAGCAGAAACATCCTTGAAAAGTGAAGATGCTGACTTGTGAAGTGTCTAGAGCCCCGAGGAAGCACACACACCCGTCACGGCCAACGTGTTTCATTGGTAACAGGAGGCACCAGAAAGGTACAAGAGCCCTGCGTTCTGCCAGGGCACAGGCCGAGTCAAAGAATGTGCATGAATGACGCATGGACATGGACAGTGGAGTGTGGGCTGGGTAGAGGGGGACAGAAGGGAAAAAAGAAATTGGGACAACTGTAACAGAATAAACAATAAAACAAGGCAAAACACCTCCAAGGAGGGGTCTGTAGCTGAGAGACATACGCAGCCAAAGTCAGGCCCAGTGGGAAGAAGGGGGCTTCACATGCGTCTGGTGCAGGATGGGCAAACCCCACAGAAATGAGATCTGGGTGTCTGACCGCAGGGCCTTGGCTCGTGAGAACCAGCAGGCCAGCCAGGAGGTTTGCTCAGTGGCCAGAACACAGGCACTGCCACGGTCGACTTCTTCAAAAGGCCATGGGAGGGAAGTGTGTTAAGGTGTTTCCAAGTCCAGCTGCCATACATGTCATCCTCTGGAGAACCAGGAAGGACATTTCTTGTCCTCCTTCCCCCTCTTCCTCCCAGGAAAGGCGACAGCATCCCAAGTTTATGGGCTGACAGACTCTGAGGTCTAACCTTCCAAGGGAGAGAGGTGAACGGAAAAGAGCTTTAGATTGTGAGTTCAGAGGACTGGGCTCTGGTGTCAGGCCTGCGGGACTTCGGGTGAGTTTCTTTTCCTTTCTGACCCTTATCTCCTCGTCCGTAAAGTGTGGCTATTGGGTTTGGTGATTTCCAAATCAACGATTTCCACAACGTCAGGCATTCTGTTTTTATGAGCTTGTTGCTCAGATTACTTTGAAGGGAAAACTCTCTTTCTTTATGGGGCTTGATTTGTTTTTTGATCGGCCTGGTACATAGTCACTGGTCTCTGGCCACAGTGGAGGTAGGAGAGAGAAACAATTCAGGTTTGGTCAAACCTGCTGAGGGTCGATGCACCCTTGTTTTTTTCTGAAATAGTTTCTCTAGGGCACATGCTTCATCGCCACAGTGTGGCCTGTCTCAGAGCTTCCTGCCAAGCAGAGGCATGTTCAGAACAGACCAAGGAGGGGAAGTCAGGATTTGAGTTAGCGGGACAGCATTTGAATGGCAGACATTGTTATTGACATTAAAAGTCCTTCTGCTCTGAATGAGGTGATGTCTTGCGTTTGCTTCAAAATAAGCGTGCGCGATGAGAATGGTTGTGGGTAGAGAGGAAACAAAATCAGCCAATTGTTGAAGCTGGGTGATGGACATGTGGGGGTTTCTTATAGTATTCTTTCTATTTGAAACAATACGTTTGAGACACTTCATCACCAACAGCCCTTTGGCGACTGGCCGTAGCCTGTCTCTCCACTCTCACTTCACAGTCCCCGTCCCAAGGCCCCTCTGGTGCAGTGACATCGCCCCAGCGGCTGTGATCTCGCTCCTCGCAGCTCACCTCTCCTGCGTGGGGGAGCCCATGGCCTGGCACACGCAATGAAAGCCCTCACCGCGCCACAGCACACCTGTTTGCTTCTCCGGGTCCTCCTCAGGACACCTCTCTGCTCCCCGGTGCACAGCCGGCGCCTGACACACACCAGGTCCTGGGTGTCCTCGGCGCACATCGACAAAGGGGGTCGCAGCAGGGACGGTAGCTACCAGTTTTTTGAACACTCACTATGTGCCAGGCACCACCCTAATCTCCTTATACAGGTTTTTAAATGAAGTCCTTACAAAGTGGGCACTGTTACCCTGTCTTCTCGGAAGGTCACTCGCCCAAGGTCACTGCCAGTGACTGAGCTGAGATTCGGTCTCAGGATGAACACCGGTCAGCTCTCTCCCTGCCTCTGGGGTTTTACACGGTGTCTCTGGGAATGTTTCGGGCAGGCTCAGGGTTTTGGGAGCCTGGGCTTTAGGCCCAGTTCTGCTACTAAATTGCTGCGTGACCCTGGGCAAATCACTTCTGTCCTGTAGGCTGGGTCTCCCAGGGAGACCCTCAGTGAGGGAGGATCACGTGAGCCGAGGGTCCTCCAGCTTTGGCTCCCAGGGGAGAGGTCTCCACTCCCACATTTGCTTTTCTGCCGCCGAGCTGCCTTTTCTGTTTAGGGACCTTTCAGATTCTCATACTTCTTCCCCCTCTTTTCTCGCTAACTGCAATCTCCCAGAACGAAGCCTGTTCACAGCCTGTCGCCCGCTCCCCGCACCCCCGTCCCTCCTCGTGGCTTCACTCCCGGAGGCAGGGGAGGAATCCTGGGCAGGAGGGAGGGGGAGCATGTAGCTGCCCCGTTGGTGCGGCTTCCCCGTGGTTTGTCAGCACCCTCCCCCACGGAAACTCAGCCGCACACTTTCTAGGGATGTTCTGAGGACAGCCAGAGTCCGCCACTGCAGCTGCCAGCCCGGGGCACCTGTGTTAGGCTCTCGAAGGTCCTGAGCTAAAGCGGAGGTGGGGGGTCCGGAGGGAAGACGGCCGCGCGCCCGTTTCTATCAACTTAGGTCCGGCTCGCCCAGCCGGAGCTCCAGACCCTCGGCGCCTCCCAGCCTCTCTGACTTCCCGCTGGGACCCGCCATTGCATGGCCGGGCCTCGGCGAACTGCAGACCAAAGCGGCGGTGCGACTAGGCCCCCCTCCCCAGCTCGCCCCGACACCGCCCTGGGGGAAGCCGAACCCCGCCAAGCGATGCAAACCCTCAGCCCCAAGGAACGGGGAGGCCCCAGGCCCTCGGCTTTGTCTGCGTCTGGGCGAGAAGCGGGCGGCTGGCCAGGGCGCCGCGCGGAGCCGCGGGGGCCAGCGACTGTCCTCGGCGGCCGCGGTGCTGAACCCGGACCGAACGAGGAGCGGAGCGCGGGGCGAGCGCCGTCCGCCGTGCAGGGCTGACCCCCGCGAGCCCCAGGAGCTGCCCCCGAGGTGCTGCTGAAGCGAGAGGGAGCCCGGGGCGCCCTGTGCGCCTCGCCCCGGAAGAGCCCCGGTGAGAGCTGCCGCGAGAAGGAAGGAGGGCCCGAGGAAGCCACCCTCGGGAGCTCCGGAGCTCGGCGGCGCGGGGCCTGCGGCCAGGGCCTCTCTGGCGAGCCTGCCCGGTGGCGGAGGTGGCGGCTCAGCAGCGGAGAGCGAGCGCGCGGTCTACGAACCTGTTGGAGGCTGCAGCTCCTCCGAGGCCGACCTGGGCGCCGGGACCGGACTGAGATTCTGGCGCGCTTCTCCCGCCCTCTTTCTGGATTCCTCTGCGGAGGCGCTCCCTCCTGCCTGGGCTAGCACACGTGCATGCGGGGGGCACCGAACCCCTCTTCCTTCCGCCGGAATGGGAATGTCGGCCCGGCTGCAGGACACAGAGCCCGTGAGGCTTCCCCCAAGGGCAGACCCGCTCCGGGGAGACCCAGGCTTCCTGAGAAAGGAGGCGGGGGCTGGCGACAGGGAGGAGAGAGGGCGCCAGCAGAGGTGTCTGTGAAACCGGGAGGGAGACACGGGGGACTTCCCCATAGTGACAGTTGTGCCCTGAAGTTTGGGGACTTGGGGTCCTGTTACTTAGGGGACAAAGCACATCTTGCCTTGGAAATATCTCTTCCTCCCTCTCTGTTTCTGTGGCCAGTGTTCAAACGCAGGTCTTGCACCTGCTCTGTTGCAAACTCGACTCTCTTGTCTAATTGCTTCTAGTCCCTTATTCCTGTCCGTCATCTACCACACCCTAGAGAGAGCTTTCTAACTCTCCTCTCTGTATGGTGCATCTGTACAGTAAGACAGAGACTCTGGTCTTTCACCAGGAGACCCAGGACCTTCTCTGCAGCTGTGTTCTTACCAGGACAGGTGCCCTGACCGCTCATTCTGAAGAGGTTCACCCCAGTGCCTTAGCACCTGCTGCTCCTTTTGGCTGGAATGAGCTTCCAATCTTACTACTTACACTTTGTCTTTAAGTTAAAGTGTCCTCGTTTGGATGGGACTCTCCCTGATGCCTAAGGCACAGCCGTCCCTTCCTCCACGCCTCCTCTCCTTTTTGTTCCTCTGCTAGACTTCTAATCACGCTGTGTTATAATTACTTGTGCGTAGACATCCTCTGTTACCAGGCTCATAAAAGCTGTTCCACATTTTCCTCTTCTCTGCGTCTCCACCTCCCAGCGTGGCGACTGACAGACAGTAGATGTGAATTATGTCTGCCAAGTGAACGTACGTGGGAGAAGCAGGGGTCAGTGACCTTTCTGCTTTCAGGTGATAGTTCATTTTATTTCTGTGTGTATTTTAAACCACAGCCTGCAGAACCTCACACAACAGCACGCCTGCCTAACCCTCTGCCTCATCTCCACCGCCTGTTCCTGACTCAGTCGTTTTACCTACAGTGACCTCCAGTTTGTACCAGATTGCTTTTTAAACATTAAAAAAAATTTTTTTTGCTGTTTTCTTAATCTGGGACCCTTATAACCTTGATCTTTATTGCCTGAATTCTTCTTATCCTTTGAATTTCAGCTCAAACGTTACCTCCTAGAGACCTTCTCTGGCCACCTTCATATTTGCTCCCCCGATTAGCTGATAACATTGCGTCTGTCATTTGTCTTTGTTATTATCACTCTTTGAAATTGTTTTATGTTCATGTTTAGTTGTGCATCACCGGGTCCCCTCAGCTTGGTTGGAACTCTCCAGGGGCGAGGACCGTGCCTGTCTTGCTCACTGCAGTGCCCTCCGCCGTCAGCGCTCTGAGATACACTCCCCTCACACGAACACACCCACAGTCCCTTTCACTCTGGAATGGCTTGACTCTTTGTGCTGGTCACTGCAGAATCTTCTATTAGGTATAAGTCAACCAGGAATGTTCAAAGAAAGGGTCACACTGGTATTCCACGGGATAGGGAAGAGCAAGTTCGGGGCCACAGACCCGAGGCTGTGCTATGCCAGGCCTGAATCATAGCCCCTTCTCCCCCCGGGTGGCAGAGCCATGGCAACAGCTGACTCCACACCCTACAAAGCACCTTCACACCATGCAAAGCACATTCCCATTTGAGAGGCATGGCAGCCTTATCTAGTAGGGCTTATTCTCTCCAACACTGAAAGCATCTGAGGCTAAGAGCAGCCAACTGACCTAACCCAGACCACACATTTCGGAGGGATGATGCCCTTCCTGGTGCTGTGCTATTGACCTGGGAATCTAGAATGAAGACCGGGCTCCTGCCAGGGCTTCACACTAGTGAGAGATGCAGGCACAGGAACAGTGGACCATAGTACAAGCTGATGAATTCTCAGCAGGGATTCTCAACCTGGGATGGGTGGGGGGAGCAAGAAATAAATAGGCTGCCAGGGTCGGACTAAACCAAAATTCATTTCAATAATAATTGTAATTTGTTCATTGTTTCCCAGATGTCAGATACTGTACTAAGTTTTTACACATTGTGTTTCCGCTAATCATTGCTCCCTATGTCCATCCTCATTTTACAGCGTTAACAGGACCTTAGGGACGTTAGGTAACTTGGTCAAGGTTGTGGGGCTGGTCAATAGCTGAGCAGGGTCTTCACTTGACTTTGTTCAACTCAAAGCCTGAGATCTTAACCATTATGCACCCAGAACTACTGAATCTGGGGATCTGGTAAGCAGGGAGGGGACTGGGCTTTGAAGATGATTCTTAAATTATTCTATTGTGTTTTAACCTCTGTTGAGAAACACTCACTTTGAGAGTGCTGTGAATGGAGTGGAAGGAGGTTGAAATCAGATCTTGAAGGATGAAGTGGGAGTTTCCAGGCAGACAGCTGGAGGGTATTTCAGACAGAGAAATCCAAACAGAATATTCCAGCACCTTGGGGTGTGGAAATGAAGGGGCTGTTTGTTAGTGGTTTGGTGTGGCTGGAGTGCAAGGCTGATGCAAAGGGCAGGGGGTGGGACGCGAGGCCGCAGTTCCGTTTAGACCTGGCTGTACGCCTTTATCCTGCGGGCGGTAGGCAGCCACTGAAGGGCAACAACAGCTGTGCGTTAAAAACAGCCACCGGCACCTTGGTCAGCCCACACGCACAACATGGGGTCAGCCGTCTACAATCTGCAAAGTCCTTACTCCGAGCAGAAATACCACTCTGGAGTGGGGTGGACCCAAAGCTCCAGGAGGGCACCCTCGCCTGTGGGCTGGTGCCAGCCGAGAACCCGGCACTCAGAATCGGCTGGAGAGGAAGGAAGCAGAGAAGTGTAGTTCAGAGGCTGCGGCAATAGCTCAGGTAAGAGAGAAGGGATGAGAAGCATCACTTAATCAGAGTTGTTTGAACCACCGAGTCCAGAAAATAAAAACCTGTGGTCTCCTGCCTCTGAGCACCCCCAGGGGAGACCGGATTTAGCTGTCCAAAATGGTTGCTGAGTAATTACCACCATTTACCTTTCCAACACACAGAGAAGCATATTGTCGCCCAGGCGGCCAACACCTCGCCAAACCAGGACTTCTTCTGTCGCACGCACTTTATGTCTTTTGGCTTCTGGATTCGGGTCCCCGTGGTCTCTATCGTGTGGCAGCGGCATATGGCATCGTTGGTTCCAGTGTTTGAAAGGGCAATCACTGTGCTAATGAAACTCGGTCTTGGCTGAAGAACCAAAATCTACCTTCTGTTTCTCGGCCCCTGTGGGGAAGTCCTCACGGACCCCGGTGACGGCTGCCTTACAGAGGGCTGACTGGGATCTTGGACTGGGCCCCTTTAAAACCTGTGACCTCCATCGGCCCTGTGGAAGTGGGTGTGGCTCTCATCCCCGCTTTACAGATGAAGAGAGAAAGAAGTCGAGAGACTTGCCCAAGCTTGTTCCTTACAGAGGCCGGCTTCAAACCGGGCTGTTGGGTTCAGTCCGTGGGCTCCGACACGGCCTGCCTGCCTCTCAGAGGAAACCTTCCCACTCCTCTCCCTCCCAGACCCAGGCAAGCCCAGGCAAACTGTTTCACCGCGCAGGGTCTCCACTCCTTCTCTGTAAAGTGGGGAGGAAATGAGAGTGAACACGGAAGGTCGTGGGGGGAAGTAAACAAGGTAACACGTGAAGGCGTCCGAATAGGGCAGGTTCCGTGTTTGGTCTTCCTCATCTGGACCAGTGGCTCCTCGTCTGCCCAGATCCCTGGGTCGTAGACCCACAGGCCACCGCCGAATTCTTCCTTTCCCTCAGCGTCCAGTCCATCAGCAGGTCCACTGAGGTCTCGCACCAAAACGCATCTGGAATTAGTCCACTTCTGTCTTTCTCCGCCGCATCCCCTCCTGTCTGCACCATCATCGTCTCCCGCCTGTGCTGCCACTGCAGCAACTCGACCGGTCGTTCTGGTTCCACCCTTGCTCCCCAAGGGAAATTTTAAAATATATATCCCACCCAGAAAGGAGCACAGGTTGCATGAACAGTTGAATTGTCACAAAGTGAGCACAGCCGTGTGGCCAGCCACCAGATAGTGGAAAAGAAGAGGACGGGTCTCCATCACTCCTCGTCGGAGGAAACCACAAACCTGTGGTGACGTCCGACTCTATGGAGTAGTGTTGCCTGTGTTGAAAGCATACCGGGTGTATCAGGTGTGCTCCGCCTTCTTTTGCTCAATGTCATGTCTGTGAGATTCATTCATGTTGTTGCTTGAATCAGCAGTGTTTTACTTTTCACTGCTGTGCAGTAGTGCACGATATGACTGTCTCTCAACCGGATGATGGATTCTTGGGTGGTTTCCAAATTTTGATTCCGAAATTGTGGGATTTGTTTCCAAATTGTAGATCTTTTGATATGTGTGTGTGTGTGTGTGTGTGTGTGTGTGTGTGTGTGTGTGTAAGGGATATGGTTGGTTGTATTCCCAGGAGTGAAATAAATGGGTAAGGCGTGCACATATTCAGCTTTAGTAGATACTTCTAAAAAGTACGGGTTCCCGTTTACAGTCCTATGAGCTGTGTACGGAGCTCTAGTTGCTCCACATCCTCACCAACACTTGGTATTGTCAGTGTAGTTTTAGCCATTCTGTGTATGTAGGGAGTAAGTAGTGGTTTTACATAAATTTGCCTGATGAATAATGAAGTGCTTTTCCATGTGTTCAGTGACCACTGGGAAAACTTCTTTTGTGAATTGCTCATTCACATGTCAATTTTTCTATTGTGATGTCTGTTGTTTTCTTAATGATTTGTAAGAATCGTTTATGTAATCTGGAAAAGAATCTTTTGAGTCTATAGGTACAGACATCACTATGTATCCATAGAATGAGTACATATATAAAATGTGCTCCTAGTTTGTGGCTTGTCTCTTTCCTCTGTTGATGGTATCTTTTGATAAACAAAAGTTGCCATTTTATAGTAGTTTAATTGATCAATTTTTCTTTATAGTTAGTGCTTTTTTTGTTTCATTAAAGAAATTTTTGTCTCCCCAACATCATAAATATGTTTTCCTTGTTGTCTTTTAGAAT